TGAATTGCTGTTTACTGTATCACAAAGATGGAAACAGGTTATTTTAGACAAGCGTGCATGTATGTTTAGGGATGTGCCAGGAAATTGAGAATGTTGCTAGCAATTTACACCTACTACTATATGTAAAACACATTCATGGGCAATGGGAAAAGGTGCTGTATTTCCTTTTAACCATAGTTTAGGAAATTTGTCGAGTTTCTTCCTTGCAATTTGAATGAACAGGTTTAGCCTTAAGTATTACTGATTGCAGTGACAGCATGTTCAGAGATACAACATTTTACTTCAAACCATTCCATGTGGTTAAAAAAAGTCTTTGAAGCTCTTTTATGTTTAGACATTCTGCAAACGTCATGGGTGATAATTTGGAAAAGCTTCACTGATTTTAAACCTTTGTGTCTATTTGTAGCCATCACATAAAATAACAGTGCTGGAGAACTAGAAAGGTACTGTTCCATGGGGGTGAAGTCTGAATAAAGATTACTAATGACAGAAAAAAACCAGTGGTGAAATTCACAGGGGGAAAGTGTGAAATTGTGAGGAATTGACCCCTCAGTTCCTATTCCTATTTCTTAACTATAGAGACAGTCTCTTGTCTACAGGAATTTTATTAGATGAAGGACAGACCACTCTAAAAGTATTTGCAACTTTCCTCTGAGTTGAGTCTTTATGAAAATAGATTTCTTCATACTAAAGTATTTAAAAAAACCTAAAAGTTGTCTTTGGCCGAAAGGTGTTGCCTCAGGGTAATCTGATGAGTCTTCCCTGTGCACTTTTGATGTGACATTTGTACCTTTTCAAGTTATCTTGAAAAACTGCCCAACCATCCACAATGGCTCCAAAACAACTGTTGGGGTACTATGGATTTGTTTACACAAGCAAAGGAGATGGAGGGAGCTGAGAGTGGTCAGATCCAAGTGGACAGTTGTAAGAAGGAAAGTAAGTGAAATGCTGGGGTTTGAACCCCGAGCCCCAAATTAAGGTTGCCATATGGGTGATTGCCACAGCCCTTCATACAGAGGGGGTGAGTTTGCCTTATAGCTTCCCCCCAGGGTGCGGCCGGCCCTGCAGGGAGAGCCAGAAGGGAAATGAGCCCCAGGGGTCCCGCAGTGAGTTGACAAAGGTTAGGGGTCTGCTTGGGGATAAAAGCTGGGACCACTGGCAGGGAGTCAGGAGTGTCTGTCTGTGGAGTGCACTCCACAGAGCTTCCTGGTTCAGGAGAGACCTCCTGACTCTCCCTGGAGCTGGGCCCCGGTCTGTTTAGACCTTTGTGAACGCGGGCTGATCGGGTGAGAGTCACCATGTGGGCACCTTTCTCTTATATGTTTAGCTCTCTGGTCTGGCTGTTTCCCATGCCAACTATGGGAAACCTTGGTTCTCTGTTCATACCACCTGTTGTGGGCCGAGTTATGTCTTTTGTGGGATCGTTGGGGGTGGCATCAATTATGTACCAGCTGATTGACTTGTTGGTATCCCCATCGATCATTCATGGAATGTCCTTTTTGTGTACAATACAGTCTGTGTATTGGTTCATCTTCCTGCTGGCCAGAAGGCCCAATTTTTGTTGGGCCTGGTCATTGGAAGAACAGTAAGAAAAGGCAGGTGGATGTTCTTGATGTAGCTGCAAGAAATTCCTTTATTTCAAATATAATCGAGGAAGAACAAAAAAAACCCTAACACGTTCTGTAGCAGTCAGTTAATCATGTTATGTTGTTTAGTAATCTTATATCCTGTTTAGTCGTCAGCATTTAGTGTATGACTCGCAAAGCCACTAACACGTTCTGTAGCAGTCAGTTAATCATGTTATGTTGTTTAGTAATCTTATATCCTGTTTAGTATAGTCGTCAGCATTTAGTGTATGACTAGCAAAGCCATTCATCCCTTGGCTGGATATTTTTCAAATACTTTGGGGATCTGGGGATCCAGAATCCCTTGAGGTTCCAGGAGACTTTTATGCCACTTGAAAATCCCACTTTGATGCCTACTTACATTTTATTTCTTTGCAACGGGTCTTTCCATAAGCATAGTGAAATGTTGGGAGAAAAGAGCTTTCTCAGCATACTGGAGTCCCACTGACAAATAACACTTTGTGGGAGAGAAAGGTACTATGGCTTGTCCCACATGTAACCGTCTGAGCAAGTCAGGGTTGTGCTTTCTGCCCTTATAAAGTGTGGCATCTGCTTTCATGCTGTGGGTGCTCTGCAAAGCTTCGTAGCCTACATCGGGGGTAGCACTACTTGTATAGTGTTGTGACCCCAAGTTCTGCACACACTCTAACTTAAGATTCCCATATCTTCATATCACATGTTTCTCATGTCTTCCTCTTTAAAAAGTCATTAATTAAAGGACTTTTGCTCATTTTGATATATGGAAAGTATTACTGTGTATCTCTAGTCAAGTTTTGGTGCATGCTGAATCACGTTTTCATGGATTGCAGGTGATTTTTGCTTAGAAATAATAGGATATGTTTTTGAAGCTATTTAATACAAACCTGTCTGGTCTGTCAGGATCTGTGTTGACAACTCCCTCTTGGCATTAAGTTTTTAAGTGAATCCATGGTTCTTGCAGAGCAATTAATTAGTCTTTGAAAATAGAACAGAGACTGACAGTGTCTGAGAGAAAGGAGTGGCCGCCAGATTTGATTAATGGGTGTTTATTCAGGTAGTGGGTAATTGTTGTGTACAAACTTCATAAAAGTAAAGACTTCATCATCTCAGGATGTTTTTTGCGAACACATATGACTTCATTATGAAGTCAAATTATATTTTACTAATGAGTAGTGAATCAGTACTACAATTATGGATTAATCCCCTCTTCAGATTTTTCGATCCTATAAATTTTCTTGGAAACTCAGCTTATTACAGACTCTGAATTTTTGGCTCAGCTTGTTGTCAAGATGGCATTCAGACCTAACTGAAAATCCCACAAAAGATTTGGTGTTTACATGTTGGACTTGAACTGAGGTCACCCCTGGTTAGAATAAGCAAAGGCAGAGCAGGCAGCCCATGCAGTTTGTGAATTCTCTAATCTAGGCTAAGTTATGACCATCTCTATATCTTCTTTGTCTTTTATGATACTAATTTAAACAGTGTACATTGAGTAACTCTGAAACAATTTGTAACTGGATGTCAATGCCATCCTGAGAAATGGCTTGGACTGAAAGCAGGCATTGTGTGAGAAAAGCCTGATAATAGTTTTCATTTAATCTTTATTTGGAACTGTAGCTGAAATATTTAGAATTATGTGTTTGACAAACTATTATTTTTGTTAGATCATTAAACTGGATTGCCCATTTACATGATGTTTAGAAAGACAAGACATAAATGTTGTTTCCAGGTTACATATGCTTGTGCCAGATCAATTGCCCGTTTATTTTTAAGTATTTATGGTCCTCTCAGTTTTGCCTTGATGTTGGTAATGGTTATGTTTATTTGCTCTTATGGTTTTCCAACTTTTGTACACAGAGACATGCTGAAGTCTTTTCAGCTTCCTTCTTGACTGTACAGTAGGTTTGTGGGTTAGCTCATCTTCCAGAGAGCTCTAAAAACCAAGGCTCTATCTCTTCTCCCAACATATGCTGAATGCAATTAGGCACTGGCTCAGAAAAGGCTTTGTAAACATTCTGAATCCATGCCACAATTTCTGGTCTCAGGAGCTGCCAAATGCCTAAATAGTTTATTCAAGCCAGATGTCTAAACATATGAAATGAATGACTGAACATAATGCCTCCTTAGTAGAGCATATGCATATAGGATGGACAGACCTGAGGGGTGTGAGATCAGCTCCAGAACATGATGTTCTGCTAACCCAAACCCCTGGCCACTAGGAGAGAGACCAGAATATATTCTGTCCTGGGTGAGCTGTAGGAGGAAGGAGCACCCTCGGTCTGTTTGTTTTTTTCTCTCTTGTTATGGGATACCAAGCCTCCGAAATCTCTGCTAGCAGTATCATAAGGCAACCTGTCACTTCTCAGTGAGTAACACCTGGCTCTGGAACACTGAGGACTTGTTCAGCAGCATCAAACAGTTTGATTACATCTGTGGTTTGTTTTTTTCTTTTTTTTTACCTGAGCAGCAGCGGTTCAACCATTATGAATGGGCTGCCTTGATCTTGTTAGGAAGTTTACATAATATAACACACACAACAAAATAGCTTCTATGTAAAATAGTTCAAGTAACTTCACTGACTGTTGAGGCTGCCAAAGTGTTTTTCTCTTTTGTGGAAAGTAAAAGGAGACAAAATCATTAATAAATGCAATAGGTATGATTAACATTATGGCCAGTAGCTCATATGTGGTAGTGGGCAAAACTGAACATACTTGAGGAGGTACAAAATAACCTACATTATAAATGTGTTGTAATTTATAACAGTAGCGTGTGTTGAAAATGTTCACAGAATATTTTCACTAGGCAGTCTTATTCTTTGTCACACCATCTCAAAAGAAACAAACATGGTCCTTTCTGAATTCTCTTTAAAGCAAAGCATAATGTGCATTTATGTTCCTAGTCTTCCTAGAACTTGAAACTTCAGTGATCTTAAAATGTTGATTGAGTTAATTTCCCTTTGACATAAGGCTGCCTAGTTCAAGATCCTGAATAGTGCATGTGTGCACTGGGATGGTCTGCTCACAATCTTAGCAAAATGCCTGCAAGGCATTAAAACTTGAATACAGACACTATTGTTTTGGTTGCCCTATGAATAATTTTATTAATAGTATTGAGAATAGGTAAATTGATCCAGGAATATTATGATAAGAGGCTACTGGAAATGTAATAATTCTGTAGTAAGGTTAAGTAGTAGTAATAGTTCATGATAAAGCAAGCTAGTAACTTTCCTCTCACAACTGTCTAAAAAAAACCTCTCTGTATAGTCAAGTAAGATTTGAGTACTACTCTCCTTTGTAGCAATGACAAGCATGGAAATAAAATAATTTCAGTGTATTTATTACAGGACAGCAGTAGTGTAGGGAGCTCTCACGAGCAGAACATCTTTTTTCCTCCTAGGTGTGGCAATGCGGAGGAAGTGTTGAGGTTCTACCTTGCTCCAGGATTGCCCACATTGAAAGAGCACATAAACCCTACACAGAAGATCTAACTGCTCATGTCCGGAGAAATGCACTAAGGGTGGCTGAAGTCTGGATGGATGAATTTAAGAGCCACGTCTATATGGCCTGGAATATACCCCAGGAGGTGAGTCACAAAGACCAGTGTTTGCAGGATTAGTTGGTCTTGATTGATTGATCAAGTTTTGATTTTTTGACTTGCAAACATAGGATTGGCACAAAATTTAGAAATTCCTTTCACTAACCATGATGTACAGTATACATTTATTTACATAATATTCATCCAGATATGATGATGATGGTGCTTAATCTTGTGCAAAGTTGAGATTTGAATGCAATTTTGAAATAAAATTCATAAGGAATACAAAGGTAAGTTATTACTGTTACTTGTTAAATGGATATTTACAAGTAATGGTAACCCAGTCTTGACTGTGCTGATAGATCAGAGAAAAAGAAGCCTATTGTAATAAATTTTAAAACTCATTTATTAAACAAAGGAAACCAATCCATGTTACTGAACAAAGGAAAAATAAATGCAATGTGTGCATCGAACTGATTTCTTCAGGTCACAAAGTGCATCAAAGTATTTTCATGGTAGGTCTTGTACTGTCTAAACTGTTTTTTTTTAGAGTTTTGAAGAGGAATAACAAGTTTTCTTACCACTTCAATCTCCAGTCATTTTCCCACTACAAGTGCACTGATCATTGCACTGAACTGCTTGAATAAAGCAGGTCCTCTTCATCTTTACAAAGGCTACTGCTGTCAAACCACAGTGCAGACTTAGAAGCTGGAAATGGCAAGTGCTAAATCAGCTTTTGATAGTGCTAGCCTCTTCTGCAGCATGATGAGATGCCTCTGTTGTAGGGAGAAATCTATTACTAGGTGTATGTACAGAACTTGTACCACAAAGAACCTTCATTTCTATTTCTCACCACTGTAGAATGCCATGTAAATGTACACATGCCCCCATACCTGTTTCAAATGTACTGGGAAACAGCTTAGTTTTCACAGCTGTAACAGGCCTAAAAAGCCTGAATCTCCTCATTACTTAGGAGTTGCTACAGGATGTTCAGAGACAGTATGGGACCTTAGTGGCCACCAGAAGGTTTTCCTGTCAGTTGGGGTCTGTGACTTACAGCTGAATATGTTCACATGTTGTTCACCCAGCTTCCATCTTTTGCCATGTGGAGTATAGGGAAGGACTTAAAAGAGTGTTGGGGCTTTATTTTATTCTGGCAGCCTGACGTGTGCTCAAGCCTCGGAAATCAGTTGTGTAACTTGGAGTTGTTCTTTGTTTTCATCGTGCAAGGCCTGGTGCCAAGAATCGGGGGAAGGGCTCTGAAGACCTGGGGCTTCCTTTTCCTTTCCCATGCTAAACTTTGGGAGTATTAAAGTGGTTCTAGAGCAGTAGGAAACAAGTACATATTTAAGGAAAGCTTCTGTTATTTTAAGGGAAAGCAAAAAATACAGCATAAAATGAATCAGTCAGTATAAAGAAAACTTACATCATTAGTGAGAGTCCTCTTTTATACATCAAAAGCTTAGGAACAGTGCAGTCTCTGGTGGGTATAGAAACATCAATAGAAAGAGGAAGTATTCAGTGTAAAGAAGCAACCTAAAAAATAACTGAAAGCTTGTCTCTGCATTGTAACTACCTAGATAAATAGATTCTGAAAAGCATTTAAAGCCCAAAGGAAATTTGGGTCCCAGAAGCAAGAGCTGTGCTCTCCATGTGTCCTCCCCTGTATTTTTTTTTTTTTTCCTTCTGCTACCATATTAACAGCTTCAGGGAACATACTGAGTTGCTGCTGGTGATAAAGCCAGTGTGCTATACGTGGGCTATTTTCCTTCTCTGGCTGCGTGGGAGGATGAGATTGCTGATGCCACAGATGTTCTTTTCTTACCTTGTGAGAAGGGTTTCCTGTGAGGAAACAAGTGTTGGTGCCTGGCAGGGTTGTATGACAAAGGAGTTCGGATACATTGGACCAATTTAGTACCTGATCCCAGGAAGCCTTGTTAGTGCTGGAAGTTGAACGTCTGTGTGCTGGCATCCTGCTTTTCCTACATACAAGTGGCAGAATCACTGGCAAGTACAAGTGCAGCCAGAGTGGTGCACGAGTGGGATTTATCCATGGGATCAGTTGGTTGTCTTACAGCACCCTACACAGCACGTTCCTCAATCTAGTCACTTACTATTAAAGACAGGAAAAAATAATCGCTTAAGGAGGAGTTCCACTTGGAGTTTTATGAATGATGTAGGGCTTGACGGGAGTCATCATTTTTAAGGGTTAACTGGAGTTATGCCTGTTTATACCAGACCTCAGTTTCCTACCTTTTAGTATACTTTGCTAATGTGGACGCATTACTTTAGTTTGAAAATACTTAAAAAATAAAATACACATGCTCCAGATCAACATAATTCAGTGCTTTGGGATGTAAGAAGCGGTCGTTGCTTCAGCAGCTCACAAACCCAGATACTTGTAAAGCTACCTTTTTGATGGGTAGCTTAAGAAAATTCAAAGCTTCTGATATTATATTTACATCACATCTAGTGGCTGACAAAATCTTTGGGGCATTTGTTGTCCAGTAAAGGCAGTTGCTTAAGTAGTTAGATTATGGGATGTTTCTATGAAAATTTATTTACCCTGTGATTTGTTCTGCAGCAGAAGTGGTAGAGCACATGTAAAATTAGACAATTTTTACTTCCTGTCAAATAGCAGCCGTGGATTTTCACTTAGATCCCTCTCTAAAAATTTCTGCTGTGTAATTTTAATGTGATAAATTATTGATTTTTATATAAAGGGACTTTATGAAACTCAGTTTATGATAGTCTCTTATGATAAGTAGGAATTAGATAAGCCAGAAATGTAAAGGAGAATAAAAATTACGAGACAGAATACTCTGCAGTTACTTTTAACAAAAATAGCAACTTCTCTTTTTACATTACAAGGGAAGTTTAATAAGTGGTATTTCAGAAAGATGAGCAGAGCTTCTGCTCTTTGCAGTGAAACGGTAAACCCAGACTTCAGAAACGGCCAGGAAGTATCCTATACGAATGTTAAGGCCCCATTGGGACACCAGCAGTAAGGTTGTTTCTAGGGCAACTTGCTACTTCCTGCCAATTACTTTTGGATTTGGAAAGTGCTGGGAAGTTAAGAGAACAGCAATATTCATCAGAAGCTAGATCTAAACCCCACTGAAGTCAACAGTCTGCTTTTGGTTCCATTGTCCAAAGCAGACTTTGAGAGAGACCCCACCATGGTGACCTGTATCATATTTAATTGGGGCACTTACTGAGTGTGTGTGGGTAACAAACTCATTTGGAGCTGAAAGCTGATAGTTATCATAGGTCATAATCATCTTTGCAATGAGGGAGATTATTAATTTACACAGAAGTGTATCACTGATGTCTTCTCTGCTTTTTCTGTCCTTTGTTTTATGTATAGGACTCTGGAATTGATATTGGTGATATTTCTGAGAGAAAGGCGTTGAGGAAGAAGCTCCAGTGCAAGACGTTTAGATGGTATCTTGTCAGCGTGTATCCAGAAATGAGAATGTATTCAGATACTGTTGCCTATGGGGTGGTAAGTACCTTGTTTACATTTCCCATTCTAAAAAGGTAGGAGAGAAAGGTGTAATAGTGGAATTAATTTATTAAGACAGTGCCCAGCTATAAACAGGAGAATCAGATAAACTTAAAGTCACTAGTTAAAGAATTTATTAGACTGTTATTTGACAGAGACAGCTGTCCACTGTCTTCATTTTTTTTGTAGAAAATACAGAGATTGCTACTATAGCATTATCACTAATTTTAAAATACACTAAATAAAAAAGTTACCTGAATAGGGATTAGGATATAGGCATCAATAAAGTCACCACCCATATTTATTTCCTGAATCCTAACTTTCCTCCTGTACTGTGAGAGTTGGGAAAATAGTTGTCATTCATGTCTAATTTTTGCTGTGGCATACACCTAGAGTTGGGATTGGTCGTAAAGGGTTAGGAACCAAATTTCTTTCTGAATTCTGCAGTACCCTTAGCATTATGAACCAGCAATGTCAGTGGGCCAGAAGCTGATGTATTTAGTATAAGGACTAGTCCCTGATTTCAGCTTGATGTTTATTTTGCAAATTCAAAATTCCAGTAGTCTGGTTTATCCCTGTATTCTGTAAGGCTCCTATGTTAAAAAGGGAGCAAAAGATAGTATTGACTAATGATTTCTGGTTTTCAGCACGGGGATTGGCAACCTAGTTATATTTGGTGTTGTAATTAAGCCTGGGTAGTCTAAAACTGCAGTACCCAAGTTAATTGTTGGTTGCAAACTTAGAGTTTGGAAAGAAAGGATGATCCCTAAGAGTCTGGGCCTCAGATTTTGAAACAGTTAATTGCCCAGTAGCTTTTTTAGCTTTCTGTTTTCTGTAAGGATCATTTCTATACAGATACTGTAAGTTAATTGTAGAGCTGTGACTGGGATAAGAGCTTGAGAAATTAAATCTGAAGAGCTCATTTTATTTTTCTGTTTTTGAGGTTCATAAGAGGAGGACTGATGCTAAGAGGAATATAGTGTTTTGTCTCCTTTTCTGTAGTGCCTGATCACCAGCCAGCACCGTTAGGGTTAGTGCCACATTTCTTTCTAGAGCTTCTAAACTCTAACATCTCTGTACCTGTTTTACTGCTGAGTCTGCCTTCTCAGCTAAGTCCATACTGATGTTGGTCGAGGCACATTTTTTTCTTCCTTTTTGATAGGGAAAGTTGTGGAAAAGTTTGTAACATTATGGCTGGGACAAGCATTAGAATTTGAGTTTGTGGGGTTGAAAAGCCAAGGGTGGTGATGAATGAAGGCATGAATTAATAAGGCTGATATTTATCATTGTTTTGGATAGAGAGTGGTGCCTAACATCTGATTATGATTAGACTCATGGTTACAGCTAAGAAATAAAAAGCTTTGAGAGAGGACACTTTGTCTAAGTCTTGAAGCTTACAGTTAAGAATAAGGCCAGTATTGATACCTAATGCATATTTTACCTTTAACGTTGAGATTTGTCCCATTATTGAATTTAGAGTTAGGTTTGGAGTTGGAAATCTTGTAGACACGATTTTTCATGGTTGTCGTGGGTTTGGCTGGGATAAGGTTAATTTCCACAAGAAGCTGTGAGGGGGCACAGCCAGGACAGCTGGCCTGAGCTCTAGCCAAGGGGATATTCAATATGTGATGTCACAGTGATGCTCAGTATGTAACTGCGGGATCACAGCTCAGGAACAGGCTGAGTGTCAGATTCTGCATGGTGAGCAATTGTATTGTCCATCACTCACTTTTTAAATTCTATTAGTAGTATTGTTGTTTATTCTTTCTTGTTTTGTCCTATTAAACTGTCCTTATCTCAACCCATGAGGTTTTACCTTTTCCTTACAATTCTCCCCATCCCACCACAGGTGGGGAAGAGTTAGCAAGTGGCCATGTGGTGCTTTGTTGCCAAATGGGCTTAAACCACAATGATTTTGATTTTATTCACTGCCTGGCTTCAGTTTCTGGCTTGGCTACACTTCTTACATACCAGTGCACTTCCAGGCATAACACTTTGTTTTCCTCACAGGAGGTCCCTGTACACAACTGACAGGATTACTCAGTTACCCACAGGTGGTTGCAAACCACCACTCCTTCCATCAGACACTTCTCATGTCCTCTGAACTGATCTTATACCACTGAACACCTCTGCATGCCCATGGGTATGCAGTCCACATCTTTGGCCTCCCACTCTAAAAAGACCTTCCAGCTATCTGTGCTCATTAGTTACAACACTTCACTTTCAGAAAATTCTGCCTCATCATTGCACAGGTAATATATTGGGCTTTGTGATGAACAGGACCAGGTACTTTACAGTCCGTTCATAGCTAGATTGCTGTGTGTGGGTTAGCCTGGAATGGTACAAAGAAGAGCTATTGCATACCAATTGGCCAGAAGTCTGTACATGTCAGCAGAAAGGATTTGTTTGTTTGTTTGTTTCCAGAAATCAGGAGACTCATTTGAGTCATTTTGAAAGCTGTTTAATTACAGGACTTTCTCCTGTGTTTGAAACTCCATCCATACTGCTCAGTTAGCTGCACTGGTAAAAAAAATTGTCTTTTGTGTATAGTGTGTACCAGAGACTCATTAGACTTAGTATTTTAAAAACATATATCAAAAATTATTGCTACCTCTGATAGCTTTTATAAATCTGCCCTACGTGAAACCTTGTGCAACATTATTGAAATCAGTAGTGTTAGGTTATCTACAAGGAAGAATTTACTCCAGGTGCTTTCTCTTCAGTATCTTCCCTGTAACAGGTATTTTAAATTTTACATACCTCCTTGCACAACTACATACGATTATTTTTAAAAGAAAAGTAAGTAATCAAACCATCTTTTCTTTCCATTTTAGCTGCAGAATTCCCTGAAAAGTGATTTGTGCCTTGATCAAGGGCCAGACACGGAGAATATCCCAATCATGTATATCTGCCATGGAATGACACCACAGGTTAGTTTGATGATCTCTGATATTGCTGCTGCTCTTAATAGACTGGGTGGGAGAAACCATCTTGTACCTGTCATTGTTTTTGTGCAACAATACCTCTGTAAGCTGTTTAGTAGCTCTTTTTTAGAAATCTAGAACATTGTTTCTGCTATAAATTGAGAATCAGAATATTAGGGCTTTGACAGTGAAGTTTGTTTATTCATTTTGAAACAATTTAGGGTATACAACAGTCAGCACTGACCCAGATTTGTTGATAAAAGCTTTCATTTCTGATCTTTAATTCTGCATGTTGTATGAATGAAACAATGAATTTTAAACCAGCATACATGCATACATATATATACTCACGGATTATTTATACATTATATGAAGCAATAGCTCTTTTACTTGAAATATTTAGTCTCATTTTCACAAATCTGAAATGTGCATCCACCTTCACACTGTATAGCTGTGTCAAATTCTAAATGCTGTCCTTGTGAAAGCCCTTCTTCTAAAGCACCTTTTGTTTTCCTCTGCTGTTGTCCTGTTACTCCTGTATGTGCCAGAGACTCAAATTACAGAAACCTTTCCATTTTCTTACGTCACAGCTGAATTTATTAACTTGTCAAACAAGAAGGCTAAGACAGTGTATCTCTGTGGCTAAATATATGGGCATAGGTGAAAGTGTTTCTAGGCAAATCTTGACAGTAAAAATAACATTATATGGTCTAAAACATGCTTGTCAAAGACCACTGTGCAGGTTATCTAACTCTGAAAAGTAATACAAGCAAAACTGATATAAAGGAAATGGATGTATTTTTGGGAGTGATGGGAGAAACTGAAAAATCCCTCCAATATTTTTTTTCTCTTGACTACCTTTTGTATTTGCTTTCTCAAAAGGACCCTATTATGTGCCACTTAAGTTATGGAATGTGGTTTTACCCACGGAATTGTGAGTCAGTGATTTGACTATACAGTAAATAAATCTTCCTGATATGTCAGGAATAAACAGAAAGCAACAAGACAGTCGGTCTTGTTCTCTGTACCTGGATCTCACAGTGAGCTGGAAACAACAGTTTGGTGAAATGCAGATATGATTCTGTACTTCCTTGCCAAGTTACACGTGCTGCAGCTGTGTTCTGTGCTGGCTTCCTTTGCTAAGGGCCTTTAATATAGATCACTAGTGGCCTCATGCTTGGGAAAATTATGAATAATGAAGACAAAAATATCTGAAAATCCCATCCATCAGACTCGCTTACTGCACTGGCTGTGGCTTACTTGTCACATAATGATGTGGTAACCACTGTTTGCCTCCAGGAGGTTTCTGTGCTAGTCCTCAATGCTTGTTCAGGAACTGGGCCATTCACTCGTGAGCCAGAGCCATTATTCTTCCACGTTGGGGTGGGTGGCATAACTTTTCTGGTATGTCATCTGTGATAACACCATACTACTGGCCTGGTTGGAAATTCCAATTAGAAATTTTAATTATAGGTAAGAGACAAACAACAGCAAGTCAATTAGCATAGCTTAGTATTCACCAGATCAAAAACTACCTCTGAATGTCATCAGAAGTTCTGTATAAATGAGATAGCAGCAAATAAATGACGGAGGGAAAAGAGGCAAGGGAAACTTTTATTGACAAGATCCTGCTTCTTTCTTAATTACAGTGTTGTGTCTCCTTCCCATTAAGATGTATTTAATTTTGTAACTGATTATATTAAAAACATCTCCCCAGGAAGGCACATATAGGAGCAAGATCCTGGTAATGAGTGAGAACTTTCTTCAAAAGAGAAGGAGGCTTTCTCTGTGGTAGGGATTATAGTATTAACAAGCAAAGCACTAACAAACATTATCTGGCATACTTCTGTGTGATTTCCACTGCACATATTGCACATCCTGCCTAAGCAGAGTGGCAGCCATTTACATTTCCTCTACCATACTGAAAACATTTGAACAAATATTCCTTTTAATCTTGGTGAACTTGCCAGTGACCACAAAAGATATTGGTTAGATACTGATTTTGTTCTAGTAGTGGTGAAAGGGTGCTATTTTACCCACCTGCAGACCTTATCAAAATAGACCTGTCAAAAAGATTCAGGTCCCCTGATTAGGGGCTGCTTGTCTTACTGAGGTTTTTAGTGATGCCATTCTTAGCTCTGGAGCAAAATTTTACTGTTGCAGCTACACCATTTACAGTTTTAGAGCTGGGTTTTGCACAGTTGCATCTAGATGTTCAGTTGCAGTCAACAGAAAAGGAACTGCATACCTGGTGTTAAAAATCCATACTCCATTTTTTTTAGACAATATTGTTCAGACAATAAATTCAGATATCATGTGTAGCCTTATAATTCAAAGCAGTAGAAAATGGCAAGGAAGTGTCCTCAAATATTGCAATGAAATTATCAGAAATAATTTCCCATCTGATACTTGTTTCATTATACTTAGACATCAGATACAGTGCAAAGACTTGTGCAATTCAGATTCTTCAGCCCTTCAGCAATCCACTCCATGTGTACTGTAACATGAGCACATTCATAGTTCATTCTTGCAGGTGTCTTAGAGAGCTTTATAACTGTGTTTATTCTGTAGTGCTATTCTACAAATAGAGAAACTGATGCAGATCTTACATGTGGCTAAACAGTAGGATGCAATAGAAGATGAGAGCATCATTGGTTTGTTTCCTTAGTCCTCTGATGCTACTCATGAGAAAGAATTTCTCACAGCAGGGTATTTGGCTTGGCCTGAAAAGACAGAGGGCACTTGAAAAACTAGAATCGCACAGTTAGGTATGATTTGTACCCTCCTCTCTTCAGAGAGTGCTTCCCAGGGTAGCTGTATTTTGTGGTGGTCCTCAGGGGCCTGGGTGCTTCAGGAGTTGCAACACTGTCTGCTGAGTAGGGTAACTTTCATGTCCAACCGATGAAAAAAATCTGGTGGTGTCAAATTCAGGGGGGATGCTGCAGTACTTTCTCATGAATTTCAAGGAAGAATTGCTATTACTTTATCTTTTAGTACGCTGTGATTTCATTACAAAATGTCGCCCAAATAATTATAGGTTCTGTTGAGAACTTCTGTGTCTTTTTAAGTGGTATCATCTGAACTGCATAACTTTCTAAGTTGTTCATCCTCTCCAGATTCTGCTGCAACTACTAAAATAGGCAACATAGTAAATGCAACATGGTAAAATAGTTAACAACAGTACTTAAAATAGATTCCTCCTACACTGTTCAGTGGTGGTAGAAAACATGTTGCTTTAATTGCCTGAGAACAGCGCAGAGACATGGCACAGCAGCCCACAGTCAGCCAAGGAGACTACACTGGAGATGGGGGATGTGAGGAGGCAGCTCCACTTCAATGTGATGATGAGAGGGAAACAGGAAGAACTGGGAGATCATGGCAGTAAGCAAGAAAGTGAGAGGGGGTAAATGTTAAGGAAAGAAGGGATGACAAAAAATAGTAGGGGTAAAATAGTATGAAGCAGAAAGTTCTTGTGGGTTTTTGCTGATTTAACTAGTTCTGGCGGAAAAGGATAAAGGTACCATTTTAATTCTTGAACTTGTTGAAGCAAAGGTACAATTCAGTCATATGTTTAAGCCTTAAAAGCTTGTAGCGGGGCTCCTGTTTTGCACAGAAAAGATGGTTGCTTGTAGTTGCAGTAAGTACACGTCCCAGGCCTGACTGCATTCTCTTCCGAATTCTGGGAACCGCCTGAGACAGAGTGTTTGTTTTTGTTTAAGAATGCTGTTTAACCAGGCCTGTAATCTTGAAGGCAGACTGAGGACAGTGTATTGCTTGCATTAAAGCTGCTCCTAAGTGATAATTTGGAAGATTCTTTGCCAAGAATGAAACTCCTCATTATTAGAGACTTTATAACTGTTGTGTAATAAACAAGTGCCATCAATCAATGAAGTGATATTTTAAGTACAGGTCTACGTTGAAGAGTGCTTGTGATTGAGGGGATAATGGACAGTTCTGTATTCCCTTGTTCCTTAGCTTCTGGCTCATATGTTTCTCAATTTATAAGCATTTAAAGTACAAAGCTCATCCAAGATCTGAAAGACCATACAAACCAGTTAGATTTTGAGGAATTCAAGTGGAGGACCAGGGTCAGAAGACTAGATGGGGAAGACAGCTAGAAAAGAAATGCCAGTGAGAAGGGACATCTTTCATATTCTTGTAAGAGATTGCACAAGAGAACCGGCACTTAGAAACTGCTGTCTGCAGCCCTGTCGGGTCTGAATTGCTGCATCTCTGCTGAAGGCAGTGAAAAGAAGCCATGCCAACAAGCAGACCTACACCAGTTTACACTGTATGGGACTCTGACCTGAAAGCTTAATGTTGTATTCTAAGCACAGTGTGTGAAGTACTGGTAACAGCAGTTGCAAAAAAAAATCCCAGGAACTACTAAAAACACTTTGGACGACTCAGGAGTGCTCCTTTTTAAATGTTATTCATATGAAACATCTTAGCATGGTGGTTGCTTATTCACAGGTGTTTGTTACTTTGTAACCAAGAATATATATGACTAAAAATGGCTATCACTAAAGGCATTTATAGTCCAGTAAAAGAAGTACAGTGTTGATCACATACACTGTATAGTTATTAGTCCAGTATGTAAAACCCAGAAAAGGTTCAGCAAATAATCATCAAAATAATTAAAACTGCTTTGCAGATAATTCAGGAAGAAGAAATTTGTCAGGTTATTTAAATGAATAATGTAGATATCTCTAGAGTAAAGTTAGTATGATCTTCAGGTTATTGAGACATCACAAATATAAACAGATCAAAACTTGATCTCCACTAAAATAGAGCCTTAATTTCAGTAAGTTTGTTGCAATATTAAACATTTTCTTTAGATTCTTGTGCCTAATGAAATTCACATTGTACTGGACAATTGTCAATGCCAGCAAAGCTGTGAGAACCACGTGCTGCTTTGTCAGAATGAGTGTTGAGGGATTTGGGAAGCAGAAGCAGTGACCCTCTTAGGATTGGCTTTCTGTGTATGGGAAGTATGCTGACCAAGA